CTTCTGTAGTAACAAACTATAGAAATGATCCCTGAAAGTATAGTCTTAAATCTGAATTTTGAGTCACAAAAAAGTTTTCCCTCCTTTCTGGTTTTAGAAAATTTTACTCTTTCTTGCATTATATATTTTAATTTCAATTAAACATATTCTTGTTCCAAAATAATTTAAGGCAGCCTCAGAAGATACATGCAGAAAGATTATAAGTTAGAAAACAGAATGGAAATGTCATTAAGTTGCACATGAAATTTAAGTATGTAATGAGATTTTAATTCAGTGGGGAGTATATAGACTTTTCAATAATGCTATTAGACTAAATCACAATAGAAAAAATATTAGATTTATTCTTGACACTTTATGTAAGGATAAATTCTAAGTGAATCAGAGATTTACTGGTCATATTAGCATGAAAAAGTGTTTTTATATTTAATAAGGAAGAGTATTTGACATGCTTCTAAACACCTAGAAATATTAATCATTTTAAATAAAGATATAATCAGAAAATAGAGCCATATTCAGAGATTGTTAACCAGCTTATAGCAGACCCATGTTAGCTGAGAACTTCAAGAAAAGACAGATGGTAGAGTATCCATTTGAAGCCATTGGAAAGCTACCAAAACAGCCAGGACTTGAGAGTTCAAGATTTATGAGAGGAGAGAAACTCAGTAAGGTGAGCCCAACATTTATTTTGCTTTTATTCTTGAGACTTTTTCTGATTTGTAAGCAGTGTGGGGAGAAAGGTGAAGAAGCCAAGCACAAAAAGCAGCTGCCAACAGGCAGAGAATGCAAGTAAAGCTTTTGGCAGTCTCATGGGGCTAGCAAAGCAAAACTTAGACTTCATTGCTACTAAAAGAGCTGGTAATTGAAGGGCTAATATCTTACAGAGAAGGGACAGGCAGAAAACAGACCCCAATAGTCTGAGCTACTTTCTTTCTTGAGACATTTGCTAATTTCTAAGTGACACAGACTGAGAGAAACCAAGCAAAAAGTGGCAGCTGAGAGTCTGAAGAACTTAAACAGTCTTTTCGGCAGTCATATGGTACTAGGGAGATTAAAAGTAGAGGAATGGCATTGGTTTTCACTGAGACTGCTATAGGACTACACCAGGACTTAAAAGGACTGAAATATACCAGAACTTAGATAAAGACTAAAATGCAGCCTTGAGAAAACTCAAACCCTGGTTGATTTAGGCATTATGCTTCTTATTCTAAGTGCCTGCCAGAAGCTAAAAACTCATCCATAGTCTCTATAAGTTTTCATACAAAATGTTGCATTCAGTTACAAATTACCAGCCCTGCTTAGAGATGGGACAAAAAAACAAACACTAAAAACAGAACCATAGATAAATTGGATGTTGGTATTTTTAGACACAAAATTTAAAATAACTGTGAATATATTTAGGAAGTTTCCCAGAAAACTATATTTTTTTTAAAAATTATCAAATAATAAAAGAAAATTATAGACCACTTTTTTATGAATACAGAAGAAATCTGAACAAAATATTAATAACTCAAAAACAGAAATGTGTAAGAAGGTTAATATAACCAAATTGGGTTTATTCCTGGAATGCAGGTTTAGTTTAACATTTGCAAATAAATTTGGTAATTTACCACATCAACAAAAGAAAATAGAATATGATTATTTAAAAATACATAAAGCCATTGACAAACTTCATCATCCATCTACAATAAAAATTTAGCAAGCTAAAAATAGAAGGTAACTGCTTTAATCTGTTTATGTGTATCTATTAAAAAGCTACAATAAACATCATACTAATTGGTGATATAGTAGAAGCAGCGTAGAAGCTCCAAGCTCTCTTGAGGCCTAGGCTCAAAGGTCACACATTATTATATGTCCCACCTCCTGTTGGCTGAAGCAAATTACAAGGCTAGTGAAGATTCAGGTGGAGGGGACATAGACTTCACCGCTTGATAGAAGACGCAAAGAATGTGTGGCCATTTTTAATCTACCACAGGTATCTAGGAATAAATCCAACAAAAGGGGTATAAGACTTCTACACGAAAACAGTTAAACATTATTGTGAAAAAGACCCTCATAGATGAAGGGACATACCATTTCAGTAAGTTGGAAGATTCAGTAAAGTTGTCGTTGCACCTCAAATTGATCTGTAGATTCAGTACAGTCCTGATGAAAATTCCAGCAGTTTTTTTGGTGGCAAACTGACAAGCTGAATCTAAAATTTCTCTGCAGTTGAAAAGTGCAAAGAGCAGTTAAGGTAATCCTGGAGAAAAAGTACAGAGTTGGGGAGAGCTTACACTATTCGACTTCAGAAATTATTACAAGACTACAGTAATTAAGACAGTGTGGCATTGGTAGAAAGCAGAGCAAAGTGAAACAGAAGAAAGAATCCAGAAACGGATGTGTAATGCCATCATGTGACTTACGACAACATTTATACCACACTGCAGTAATGGAAAGGATGCTCTTTTCAACAAATATTACTTAGTTCAATATTTATCAGGAAAAAAATGAATCTTGGCCACTCCCTCACACCATACATAAAAATAAATTCTAGGTGGAGTATAGATTTAAGTGTGAAGAGTAAAACAATAAAACTTCCATAAGTAAACACGGGAATATCTTTATGACCTTGATGGAGATAATTTCTTAACCAGGACACAGAAAGCTCTTACCATAATGGAAAAGATTGACAATGTGGATTTCCTTAAAATTAAGACTGTGTGATCACTAAAAGATATCATTTAAAGAATAATAAGACAAGTCACAGAATGGAAGAAGATTTTTGCAACACATCTGTTCAACAGAGGACTTGAATACACAAGAACTCTTAGAAAGCAGGAAGAAATAGAAAGCAGGAGCTCACTATAAACGTGAGCAAAAGACTTCAATAAGCACTTCACAAAAAGGTATCCAAATGGCATATGCATATTAAAAGTTGTTTAATCTCACTTCTCAACAGAAAAGAGACTACTCTGAGGTACCATTACACACCTATCAGTTTATTTGTCAAAACTATACCGAGATACATTACACACTGATGAGATTATCCAGGGGTTTTTTTTTGTTGTCATTTGTTTGTTTTAAGGGTCAGCCATGGTAATCCCAGCACTTTGGGAGGCTGAGATGAGTGGATCACTTGAGGCCAGGCATTGAGCAACAGGGCAAGACCCTGTCTCTCCAAAAAAAAGAAAAATTAGCTGGGTGTGGTGGTGTGTGCCTGTAGTGGGAGGCTGAGGCAGGAGGATCACTTGAGCCCAGGAGGTCCAGGCTGCCGTGAGCCAAGATCCCACTACGGCACTACAGCCTAGGCGACAGAGACTGTTTTTGAGACTTTTTTTTTTTTTTAGAGTGAGAGAGGGTCTTACGCAGGCTAAGTACAGTGGCACAATCTCGGCTTATTGTGGCCTTGACCTTCAAAATCCAAGTGATCCTCCTTTCCCAGCCTCCTGAGTATCTGAGACTACAACTGCATGCCAGCATGCCCAGTTAATTTCTAAACTTTTTGTAGAGACAGGGTCTTATTTCGTCACCCTGGCTGGTCTTCAACTGCTGGCCTCAAGTGATCCTCCCACCTCAGCCTCCCAAAGTGCTGGGATTACAGGCATGAGCCACCACTCCTGACCAGACTATCTGTTTTTTAAAAATGCTATCTATACCAAGTGCTGATGAGGGAATAGAATAACAAGGGATTTTGTATACTGCTGAATGGAGCATAAACTGGTTTGACCACTTTGGAAAACTGTTTGGCAGAATATATTAAGATTATATATGTACATTCTTTATGACCCAATTCCACTCCCAGGTATATGTCCAAGAAAAATGCATAAATGTGCCCCAAAAGACATATCTGGGCAGGGAGCGGTGGCTTACACCTGTAATCACAGCACTTTGGGATGCCAAGGTAGGCAGATTGCTTGATCCCAGGTGTTTGAGACCAGCCTGGGCAACATGGTGAAAACCCTTCTCTACAAAAATGCAAATATTAGCAGGGCATGGGGGTTTGCACCTGCAGACCCAGCTACTAAGGAGGCTGAAGTAGCTTGTGGTTGTTACATTATTCTCTTCACTTTGGGAATAATCATTTGGGTTTTGAACTATACATTTGATTAGTATACTTTTCTGTATGTGTGGTATACATCACGTGAGCCCAGGTCAAGGCTGCAGTGAGCCGTGATTGTGCCATTGTATTGCAGCCTGGGCAACAGAGCCAGAACCTGTTATGTAGCCTGCCATAGACGTGTCTAATGTTGTTTATAGCAGCATTATTCATAATAGCAAAAAGTCTGAAACAACCCAACTTTTCATCAACAGTGGTGGTTAAATACATTGTTTTATTAGCGCAATGGAGTATTATATGACAATGAAAGTTAACAAACTATAGCTGTATGTAACAATCTAGGAAACTCACATATGTAATATTGTCTGTGAGAAGCCTCCTACAACAGAGTGCATACTGATGGTTTCATTTATGTGCAGTTTAAAGCAGGAGAGCTCACCTGTGGTGATAGATGTCATTACTGTGGTTGTCTACGGGAAAGAAGGAGGCAGGAGGGGGGTGGATATGTGCTCATGGTGAGTGGGCTGCTTCCAAGATGGGGATAACAGTCTGCTTTCTGATCTTGTGGTGGATACATTATTCTGTTCACTTTGGGAATAATCATTTGGGTTTTGAACTATACATTTGATTAGTATACTTTTCTGTATGTGTGGTATACATCAGTCAAAAAGTAAAACATATCAAACAGAAACAAAACAGACCGAAAGGAATTATGACACAAACCAATAGTGTTGATCTCTATGTGATGTATGTGACTTGGGTGATAATATGTCTGTCTATATATGTATTTTTCCCTAGTATTTTACTTTTATAGTTACAGGGAAAATCCTTATTTATAAACATCAAAACCTGACCCTCGTTGGAAAGTTAACATGAATTGTAGCTTTGATGGAATCTAGAATTATAGTATCCCAGAAGGCCATCATATGACTTAAGTATGTCATTTCCTTTCTTCCTTACTTAGGCCCTAAAAAGTACCTTGGGATTTCCTTTGATACGGTTTGAAGATGCTGTGATTAATCTAGATCCATTCACTCGGGTACATCCCTATGAGACCAAGGAGTTCATCATCAATGATATCCTCAAACATTTCCAGGAGGTGAGGCTTGGAGAAGTTCTCATTGGCTGGAGCATAAGCACAATGTTTGTTTTAGTTGTTTGGGAATTTTGGTTACTCAGACATTACTATTGAGAACCCACTTAAACATTTCAACTCAGTGGTGTTACAGGTTGGGTCATATCCCAAGAAACCCATGAAATCCTGAGACAGTACATTTGACTGTTGGTTTCATCCCTCAGAACTAGTCTGAGGGGTTTCTGCTAGATTAGCCACGACTCTTAATGGTTGAATTGATGCTTTAAAAATAACAAAATAATGTTTTTATTTACCAGGCATGGGCCTTCTTTCAGCAACTACACCCATGTTCTTAGAGTCTGTGGGATCCTGCCCTTGGGTTGAACTTGAAATTTTTTAAATCAAATTGGACATTTTCCATTTCGTATTTATTATGCAGACTGCAAAGATCAAAAAGTAAAGCCAAGGCATATTCTTCAATGAAGAGACAGATCAAGATAATATCAAATTTAGTAGCTTTTAAAGTTAAAATATATTCTATTCTCGCTTCCTTTTCTCCATTCCTCCTTTCCTCTTTTGACTTTCCTAATTGGTGATGTTTCTACCTAACTAAGGAAAGTGATACAGCAGATATCACTGGAACCTGGATCAGGCAAATGGAAGTATAGAAAGAGTGGAGGGGGCTGGGCATGGTGGCTCACACCTGTAACCCCAGTACTTTGTGGGAGGCCAAGACAGGAGGATGACTTGAGCTCAGGAGTTTAAGATCAGCCTAGGCAACATATTGAGACCTCCGTCTCTACAAAATATAGAAAAAAAGATTAGCCAGTTGGAGAGGCACTCACCTGTAGTCCCAGCTACTTGGGAGGTTGAGTTAGGAGGACTGCTTGAGCCCAGGAGGTCAAGGCTGCAGTGAGCCATGATGGTGCTCCCTCACCCCAGCCTGTGTGACTGAGACCCTGCTTCAAAGAAAGACAGAAACAGTGGAGGTTTGCTTGATAAGTCTGTCCATGCCTTCTTCAGGCCCCCCCACCCACACCACAGCTTATGAGAAGAGCTGTAAATCTACCTCTCTTCCTCACTTTTCTTTTATAATTCTGTCTGCTGGTGATTACTTCTCTATTTGTAGGCACAATGAAAAGAAGAGTGTGATATATATAGTAGCAAATACTCCTAAGAATCCCTCCTGTTTCATAGCTATTTTTATTTTTCTAACTGGCTTTGAAGGGTATTTCTGGGAATATTGAAAGCAATCGCAGGGATCTGTGTGTTGGGAGAAACTTGGATGGTGCTCATGAAAGGACAGAAGATGGTTTTGCAGTTGATGAAGATCAAAAGCTAATTCCTGGTAGTAATGGGAACGGAGGACAAAACAGACTTCTTACCTTTTCACCTGGGACACTGGTATCTGCAAATATAAGTAAATGCTGATTGGACTTTTCTCTTCCTATTCCATTTGCCAGGAACTCCTCAGCCAGGCAGCTAGAATCCTGGGATCAGTGGATTTTCTTGGCAATCCTATGGGGCTTTTGAATGATGTTTCCGAAGGGGTTACTGGACTGATAAAGTATGGAAATGTTGGGGGCCTCATCAGAAATGTTACACACGGGGTATCAAACTCTGCAGCCAAGGTAAGGAAATAGAGGTGAAATTCCATTATAATTAACCTCATGAGTCCTCCACAGTACTAGCATTTCTTTCATAGTTAATAGGCTGTGAGAAGTTATATTCATGGCCTTTGCTTCACTGCCCACACGACTTGCCTTTTCCTCACCTCCAATCACCTGCCACCAGGTACACTGAATCCACCTCTAAAATATCTCTTCCTTCTTCCTCTCCATTGCCACTGCCTTAGTCCAGGCATTGTATATCTCTTACCTGGGTCACTGCAATAGCCCCTGACACCCTGGACCTTTCATGGTGACCCCCTGCATCTTTAACTGTGCCACCAGAATGAACTCATGCCATTTTCTTGCCCAAAATTTCCCAGTTATTAACCACAGTTTACAGGGAAAGTCCAAACCGAAGTACGGCCTTCTATAATGACACAACCTTTTTAGCTGTCTAAATCTAGCAGCAGACAGACAATGATGTCATTCTCCAGTATCTTGCAGCTAGTTGACTTGTTTGTTCACTGGCATCTTAATTCGTGGACATTTCTTAGTTCACTCTGTATTTTCTGGCAGGAACGGATTATGTGTGAAGATGGAGAAGGTGAAGGGAGTTGAAGGGTGGTTGCTATCTGACATGCAGGCCTCCAAAGAGCTCTGCTGTTTTGTTCTTCCTTTCATCTCAACACATGTTTCTCGCAGAGACTGACTTTTTCATGGATGAGCTCATTTTGAGAAAACACCTGTGCTGTCTGCTTATTTACTTTAGAGACAGCATTTATTTTAGTGAGATCGTAGGTGTACTTGTGCCACGGGCTGATAAAATGTGAAGGTAGCTTTACCGAAGACATCTTTGTGGCACTGCATAGACATTTGCCTTGAAGAGCAGGTAAGTGAGTAGAGCTGAATAGCATTTCTATGTAGTATGGTATTCTTGTTAATAATGTGTGAGAGCTGAGAATTTATCCTTTCTTTCCCAAACTATTTTCTAGGGATGATAGATTTGTTAGATCAATTCTGTAGGATTATCAAACCAGACCAAAGTGGACCTTTTTCCTTATGGTTCAAAATAAGCACCAGTTCGTTTGTTTGTTCTTTTTTTCCTTTCTTTTTCTTTTTTTTTTCTCGGAGACAGAGTCTTGGTCTGTCACCCAGGCTGGAGTGCAATGGCATGATCTTGGCTCACTGCAACCTCTGCCTCCTGGGTTCAAGCAACTCTCCTGCCTCAGCCTCCCAAGTTGCTGGAATTACAGGTGCCCACCACCACACCCAGTTACTTTTTATATTTTTTAGTAGAGACAGGGTTTTCACCATTTCGCCAGGCTGGTCTCGAACTCCTGACCTCAAGTGATCCACTGGCCTTGGCTTCTTAAAGTGCTGGGATTACAGGTGTGGGCCACCATGCCTGGCCAGCAATAGTCTTTTAGAGAGACTTTCCAACTCATGGTTGCAAAGCAGTGAGACTCAGGTTCAGAGTATGATCTACCATATACTTTTCTGCCTTGAGTCCTTTCTTAATTCCATGGCCCCTTACCCCTCACGCATCATAAACTGTCATGGTGGTAGCACAGATTCCTCACTCTTCTTGCTTAAGTATTTTATTAAATTTTAACTTTATTGAATTCTAATTGACATAAGAAAGTCTTCCTGGTTTTATAATTTCTTTGTTTTTGTACCTTGGGCTTTACCATAATTTAAGAAATGAGGATGCTTATGGTTTAACAATAGGACTTCTTCACTGTGGAACAGAAATGCACCTACTTTACAAGTTTATTGTAAGAACAAAACAAGGTGAGATGTTACAAAAATTTTGAAAAATACAGAGTGAAGAAGATACATAGGTCATTACTTTGCCTGTAATATTTGCATCAAGACTTGAGCCACCAGGAAACCGTTAGTGCTCTTGAAATGAAAACCAATCTAGTATGAGCTACAGAGAAGGAGCGTCTGGGACACTGAGAGTCGGAGAGTCAAACCCCATTGGGGCTAGTAGGAACCTCCATGGTTCGCTGCGTTAAGAATGAAGAGGCTGTTCACGTCCCTGTGACATCTCAACAGGAGAGACCTCTTAGGAGTTTCTCCAGTGTCTCCTGGCAACATCCTAGTGAAAGGATTGGCCCTTTCTTTATTCTCCTTGGTTTGTGGAAGTCTCGTTTGTTTCCTGGTTTTTCTGTTTCCCCTGAAAAAAGGTTTTTGAAGCTTGAGGGTCAGCATGAGATTATAACTTAAGCAGAAAGAAAGAGCAGTGTCCCCCCACCCTCATCCTCACCCTGGATCTATATGAAGGCCTGGGGGCAGTGGCAATACATTTTATTGGATATCATGCTTTATGTGTTAAAGGATTTGTATAAGGATATTGCTTTCCAGGGAATGAGTCTTCTTGAATGGGAACCTCCCTTTCCATGTGGTTGGGTTTCTTCATATATTTGTCTTTCCTTTAATAAGCTGCTAGTATCGGAGCCACAGGCTGCATCTGAGGGGATGGCTGTGTAATTTACAGGCATACATTGTCTATTAGTTCATTCTTGAATTGCTGTAAAGAAATCCCTGAGACTGGGTAATTTATAAGAAAAGAGGTTTAATTGACTCACGGTTCTACAGGCTGTAGAGGAAGCATGACACCAGCATTTGCTTCTGGTGAGGTCTCAGGAAGCTTCCAGTCATGGTGGAAGGTGAAGCAGGAGCAGGTGTCTCACATGGTGGGAGTGGGAGCAAGAGAGAGAAGGGGAAACAGCCAGATCTCACGAGAACTCGCTCACTATCATGAACACCAAGGGAATGGTACTAATCCATTGATAGGAAATCTGCTCTTAGAATCCAGATACCTCCCACCAGGTCCTGGCTCCAACATTGGGGATTATAATTCAGCATGAGATTTGAGGAACAAACACCGTACTATATCACATTGCTTAACATCAGGGATCCATTTTGAGAATCATTTCACTAGGTGATTTCATTGTTGCATGAACATCATAGAGTATACTTACACAAACCTAGATGGAATACAGCCTATTCCACACCTAGGCTGTCTGGATAGCCTATTGCTTCTAGGCTACAAATTTGTACAGCATGTTAAACATATCTAAACCTATAAAAGGTACAGTAAAAGTATGCTATTATAATCTTATGGGTGAATCATCAGATATGCAGCCCATGGTTGACCAAAATGGTATTTGACACATGACTATAGTTTGACACCGGCAATCTTAGGTGTGTTTATAGAGATATAACAACTAGTTGTATCTCTAAGATGAGAAAGCAGATAAACATAAAATTACTACGTCTCATAGGAAATGGTAGATTTAAATGGGTCTATCAGTTGAATACCACCTCAGGTCATCTGTGACTCTGCACATACATAGTTGGACTAAAGATAAGCGTTTTCTTTTAGTTTTGTGGGTTGGAATCAACTGTTAAAGTTGTTTTAGGGGAATGTTTTGTTTGTTTCTCTATGTATACCAGAGGAGTTTGAGAAGTACAAATGACCACAACAATCAACTGTTGGCCTGTGGCAATTATTCCTTTAAAGAGCGCCTGAGTTCCAGTGATTAAAAAAGGGTCAGAGGGGACAGAACTGCACCACACTGAGCCCCTGCCAGTGCACTGCACCTCATTGCAAAGACCAGAGGGCTTTAGCCTGGTTCAGCGAGCTTTGAGTGTAGTGGAGAAGTTTGTAAATCTCTTAAATTAATTGTAAATATTGTACAAACGTGTGTTTTTCTAGGGTGAGGGTCCAACGTTTCTTTTGTATCCTCAGGGAGAGAGTCATGCCTCCAAAGATCGCAAGCCATTATTATAGACATAAGCTTGTACATTGAGGGAGCTTGAGGCTGGTAGGATAGTAGCACTTTAATCACATTGTATGTGTGTGTGCATGCGTGTGTGTGTGTGTGTGTGTGTGTGTGTGTGTGTGTTTGAGATGGAGTCAGCCTGTCACCAGACTGCACTGCAGTGGCGCAATCTCGTCTTGCCGCAACCTCCTACTCCTGGGGTCAAACGATTCTTCTGCCTCAGCCTCCATAGTAGCTGGAATTACAGGCATACGCCACCATGCCCAGCTAATTTTTGTGTTTTTGTAGAGACGAGGTTTCACCATGTTGGCCAGGATGGTCTCTATCTCCTGACATCATGATCTGCCTCCCAAAGTGCTGGGATTACAGGCATGAGCCACCACGCCTGGCCAGTTGCATTTCTACCTTTAAATAATCTTTTCCTCTGTTAGTTTTGCAATATTTGTTTTTAACATTTATGAAAAGATGGTGGTAATTCCCCTGTCACACTGGCCTGAGCAAAAGAGATGAAGTATGTGAAAACCCCGTGAGGAGTTGATTCGATCACATAAGAAGATAATAGACCTGTAGGTTTTAGTCATCTGTGGATAGATGCACACATTTTAAATTTCAAGTCTATAGTGTATCCACTTGTGGAATTTCTCATTTCTTTCTTTTTCCCCCAGAGCATTCCTGCAAAAGGAACATCTCATTTCATCTTTGTTGTTTAATTTATTTACTATTGGCCTCAAGGAAATATAAGTAGGAAATAATCTATGCCCTTTTATCTCAGTGATTTCTCTTTGCCTTTCCTTCTCATCTCCCAACCGTAGAAATCAGCATATGGATTCAAATCTAAGATTGATGTTATCTTAGATTTGATAACATCAATTGTGGCTCACAATCTTAGCCACGGAATTGTGAGCATCTAACCCATGACTCCCCTGCCTGGGTCTTGGCAAGATGTCTCTAACCCTTAGCAGAACTTCAAAGATCTGATCCCATTCCTGAGGCCATGGCAAGGCAATCACTTCTGGAAGTACTTCTATGAATGTGATTTATTTAAGAAAATGACAACATTTCATATTCCAAACCCATGTCAGAGGAGAAGGTTTCTTTCTGCAGCATGAATTGCAAAAAGTGTACTTTCTTCTAGTTGTAAGTCATGTGAATATTTGCAAGACCCTCTAACATCTGTCAAAGGCAGAGAACTGGAAAGTCCCTCTATTGATTGAATTTTCGCTTTGATAG